AAAGGTTCAGGTAGGAAATAACATAATACATATCAATCGTCATCAAATAACTTTTTGCAATGCAAGTCCCCGCAGACACACCACACGAAACGACCGTCCCGATCCAATCAGTTCATGGGGGGTGTGTCTAGTGTCATGTCCTGAATGATGAAAAAGTCTTGATTTAAATGAAAGTTCATGAATATCACCACAGAGACTGAAAAAAAAAAAAAAAAAAACAGGCACCCTTGTCTAAACCAAAGGACAGGGGGTCCGGGAAGTTGATCTTGTCCCATAATTATTCCCAAACGTTTCCATGCTAATCCCAGAGCAGTGGGTCATGCCCGTGGGTTGCGTCAGCTTATTGTGAAAATGACTGGAAATTATTATTTTAAAAAAGCATCCAGTTTCTCAGTTACTTTTATTTGTGTGTGTGTTGTTTGTTAGGATCAGGAGGGGGGTCATAAGGCCACCATGGTGCAGGGGTGTTTGAGTTTGCAGGGCAGGACGCCCCTGTTGAGCTGGTAGAACTCTACCAGATGGATCAGGTCTGTGAACTTGGTAGAGCCATCATCAAGGCTAAAAAAAACCTGGCCGTCCTCCTCAAACTGCCAGAGAGAAAGAAGTGAGAATAAGATAGATTTTTAAATCACTGAATCCATTTTTAAATCATAAACTCTCCTGTCAAGCAGACAATCTTACAAATAAAAATGTGGCATAATGTTAAGGTGATTGGGGTAAACTAAGCAGAATTCCATTCATTATTTATTTAATATAATTTTATATTAATTATTTATATATAGTTCAATATTAAAACATTCAGCATTTTATATAAATAATATAAAAATTATAAATTTGGTATTATTTTTTTTATATTTTTCTTATATTATAATATAATATTATATATATATATTATATGTAAATTGTGTATAATATAAATATTAAATACATTCAGCATTTTACATAATATAAAAATAATACATTTATTACACGTAATTAAGAATGTATTTACTAATTAAGTACACATAGGCCTAATATTATAATTAACAAAAACATTTCATATTAATATTTCCTTTAATAAATCATGCCTCATTTTCAGCTACAAAAATGTTTTATACACTGCAAATTCACTAACATGCACAGAATTATAAATGTATATAATATACAATATTTATATATAAATAAAATTTGCTTTAACAAAACTTTAACTTTTACATTTATTTTTAAAATAAATGTAACCTAAAAAAGTTAACATTTAAATTCTCATGTACCTCTCTCAATCACTGACCGTAATCGCTGTAAATTACACCTTTTATAAGTATAAGGTAACATGACAAAAAAATAGCAGTTTGCCCTGCTCTTTATTCTTGTATAAGCATTAATACATGCAATAGGGTAGTTTGTATTGAGTGTTTATTAGGGACTCACAGGTAAAATCTGGAAGTGTTTAATCTTCTGATGATGGCACAGCGTGAGAACAAATGCTTTTGGGTTGCTCTGGCTGTCTCTCAACAGGAATAACCTGCGAGACATAAGACTGATTAATTTCACTGCCCACTTATAAAACAGCAATTAATATTGCCTATAAATGTGAAAAGTGTCATACCCATCAACTTGGCCCTGCTGCATAATCATCCTGTGGGACTCCTCTCTCATAATGCGGCCATGGAACCATAACTGTGTCCTGTGGATCACTGAGGACATAAACGCAAGTCCACATTTACCGGCATGAAATATTGCTATTTCTATTAAAATACCACTTAAATCAAATAGTGTTGAAGGTGCTAAACTGTAAGTAAATGCTGCGACACTCACCTGAGCTTAACAGCGAGGGATGTAGAGGACTGGGTCTTCCCAAAACATTCATTCTCTGACTCCGTTTCTGTACAGAGATTTTAAATGTTGTTATAAATGCATAAAAAAATTAAAAACCCTAATTCATTGCCTGAGTATACATGTATCTAACTACTCACTCTCCAAGTGTGTCCCTCTTCCATGGCAGCGCTCTGAGCCTCCACAGGGTTGTCAATCACACGACCGGTCCTTCCTGAGAAATCCATGGCCACCAGTGAATTCTCAGACACACTCCGCTATAGTAAAAACAGTATTACACTTGATCAGTTGTTTATTACATAAGCATTCATTTATGTGTAAAAATAACTCCTACAGGTTGTCCTCAAAACAACCTGCTATGATCAGCATTAAACCTCTCTAATTAAACCACTAAAGCCTTATTAAATAGCTTCTAAATTAATCCCTAAAGCAACCCCTGTGTTCATACGTTTCCCCTGCATGAAAGTTCCCAATGCAAATCGGCGTAAAGGAATCAATAGCCGCATGCTTAGCACGGTAGCAGATTAAGTGAACTCTCAGCAAGAGCATTCGTCAAGAGCACATGGGGTGCATGTAATACCAGGTGAACTCACAGAAGCGTGAAAGCAGCACATTTATACCATCAAGTGCACTAGAGAGTCAGCACTGAGTAACATATTAATGTGTTTCTTACCACAGGTGTGGTGAAGTTTGATATGGCAGTCTTTCTCTGGTGTGGGCTCTTGTAGTTCTGATATAGGAGAATTCCAAACTGGAAAAAAAAAAAGTGTCTGGGTTAACAAGAATGGACAAAAGGGTGTGTCTGGGAGATATCTGAGGGACAGCTTGTTCACAACAAATCTCTAGTAATTAAATATGAAAATCTAGAATGTTCATTAATAATAATAATTTTATATGGTTTTATAAATAAATAAACGAAAACACAAAATAAAAAATTTAATCTGGTGCATGCTGATTGGATTGGGGATTGTGTGACACTGAAGACTGGACTAATGGCTGCTGAAAATTCAGAGTTACCATTAGAGGAATAAATGACATTTGAAAATATATTAAAATATAAAATGGTTCTTTTAAATTGTAATAATATTTCATAATTTTTTTGTTTTTACTGTATACCTTGAGCAGTCTGAAAGCAGTCATCCAGCACGTTCGGCTCTGCTCGTCCTCAGCACACAGCATCTTCAACTCCTTCAGTTCTGTCCTGCCCTTACCGGGCTGTCAATCAAGCAAGATATCTACCGTCAAATCAAGGCACTCAAGGTAAATGGGAGGTCTAATGCTATTTCATGCATGTTGAGTTATTTACACTGTTAAAGAGTTGGATTCTCATGCTAAACATGGCCAAAGTTAAAAAAAAACGATATGAATGTAGAACAAGTATTTCGGTGTCAAATATACTCCTTCCGGTTTTTCGAGCTTGGCTCTTCGTGACGTAATGAAGGGTGGAACTCCTTGTATGGGCATTTCTTCCATAAGAGCGCACACACATCGATCAGAGCGAGAGCAAGAGCGTGCCCATCAACACGCTTCATTCGGCTGCACTGAACGGGACTCGCTTGAGAAGAATGTCTCCAAAGAAGTGTGTTTTTGGCTGTAAGGGAAAGATAACCTTGCCCAGCTTACCAAAGAACCCAGCATTACGTAGCCGCATGTGGATGCAGTTTGTTTTTCCAGGGCAGCAACGGAGTTTTGCAAGTGTGTTTGTTGACGAATGTTTTATAAACAAGGCCCAGTTCGGCACTGGATTTGCACATCGTTCGATACTGGAAGATGGAGCGGTCCCAGCTATAAAAGATACCGGTCATGATTCAGAACTGCAGACTGTAAGTAAAACGGCATCAAATGTCTGTGTTTTGTTGACAATTGGGCAAGTGCTCGTCACTCTTTAGCTCCGCCCACGGAGCGCCTCCAGGAAGATCAATATGAGATTGGGTGAGACTGTGTGTGTTATGTCCCCTTTAATAAGGACTAGCATGCATTGTACCAGGTGAGGCATGGGTAGTTATTTAAAGGGGAAAACCATTGATTTTGAAATTGTGCCAGCCATGCCTCCTCTATTCTCAATGTCAAAGTCAATTTACTGACCGGCATCCTGCTCACCTTAATGCAGAATTGGTAGTCTGTGGGCGCGTTGTGCATCTTTCTGCCCATTGTCACAGTGAAAATATTGCTGTCCTCTAAGTCCGACAGTAACTGCAGGTGCCTTGGCTCCTAAACAACCCAATTATAAATTCATCACAATACAACTCACAAAGACAGACCTACATAGTGACGGCTATAAACAGTAAAAACAGTTATCCTGAAATCCTTTATTTGCCATTATTCTAAACAAGTTTGATGCATTTGTATTATTCGCATTACAAATTGAGAACATGTTAAAAGGGACACATTAACATAAATATGTTTGTTTGTTTATGGCAGTGGTTCCCAACCCTGGTCCTGGAGGCACCCCAACACTGCATATTTTGCATGTCTCCTTTCTCTGACACGCCAGTTTCAGGTCTTGGAGTCTCTACTAATGAGCTGATGATCTGAATCAGGTGTGTTTGATTAAGGAGACATGCAAAACATGCAGTGTTGGGGTGCCTCCAGGTCCAGGGTTGGGAACCACTGGTTTATGGTATATCTATTAAAGCCTTTTCACACTGAACACGAAAATTCGGTGCGAATGTTTGGCGTGACAATGGTTTTGAATCGAAAAAAATTGATCCTATGGGGCTATAGATAGTTTTTGTTTCTGGTGTAGAACCAAACTTAATGCTGTAAATTGAGCAGCGGACCTTATACGAGATCCATATCGGAGGAAAAATGCATTGCTGGTTGGCACCACCTAGCGTGCAGGCGTGAATTAGCAATCAATCAGTTCGTGCTCTGTGTGAAAGCACCGTTCGTCTGCGTTTCGCCTCGCTTTTTCACATCACGCTCAGTGTGAAATGGCCTTAAATATTAGTAAATAATAATAATAATAATAATTAATAGTGATACAATTACAATTAAGCTCCTTGTAACATTACAATAACATATTTAATAAATATTTATTTGAAATTTTTTCAAAAATAAATCCCAGGCTTTCAATGAGTACTTAAACTTTTGGACTGTACTGTATTTATTTGCAAGCAAATTTAGGAATAATAGATGCATAACAGCGGTCTATAGTTGTAAAAACACATATATGCTCACAAATACATGTATAATTTAAAGACTTGAATTAATATTCTATTAAAGAGAAGCTTGCCTTTGACATTCCTTTAGTAGAGCAGTACAATCCAGAACGGCGCAAGAACATGTAGAGCTTTTTCCAAGACTTGCGGCCCGTTTCTTTCATATAAAGGAAGCCCTGGATCTCTGGACAGCTGCTGGAATTCAAGAAATTCTGTACAGGAAGGAAACAAAAAAAAAGCAGAGGACCATCTGGAAAATGAGCTCTTCAAACCTGGATGCCTTTCATGCTTTAATAACGCGGCCTCTTTGGTATCACAAGACATGAGTGTGCATTTCAAAAGCTGTTTGAATCCACTAAAATTCAGCTGCAAAAGAGTGATGCACAGGTTCATAATGTGGGCTAATTCAGATTTTGCTGTGTCACAGATCCATTTGCGTCTCTTCCTCACCTGTAAGAGCTGTGACTGTGGGATAGAGCCATTAGTTTCCTGACACCACGCCAACATCTGCTCCGGAAAGAAGTTCTGTGAGAGGAAGATAAAGGATGAGAGGTAAGAAAAGACTGTCTGCACTGAACATATGCCAGCAGTTCACAAGAAACGTAATGGAACAACCAGTGCGTGTATGAACTAGGGTTTGAATGATTAGTAAGGAAGCCATATATAATTAATCTGTTTTTAGGTTCACCTGACCAAGATCAGATGCCTTCCTTAGTAGGCAATTATGTAAGATGATTGTTACTAGACTGAGCACAAAAGAAAGGAACAAACTGAATTTGTTACAAAGTATTTGAACGGGCAACTTTTTAAAAGTTTTAATTGAATTCTCTTCTGTTCGTAAATATTTATTATTACTTCTCTGTATATATAAATTACATGATGGAAATTATAGTTTGTAACATATTCTATTGGATTACACATATTAGCTGACTACTTTTTGATTAATTTTAGATTACTTTTGATATATTCCATTCTTTGTTATCAACATCATGAAGTGTATTAAACATTACATTATGCTAGGGTTTCCCAAACTGGGGTTTATGAATGAGCTTGAAGACTATGAATGAAGACTTTCAAAATATATAAAGTGGTAGAATTTTAAAAAGGAACATTTAAGAGACAATAAAAAAAGAATCAAATTATGAATAAATCACTGCCTTTGTGTCAATACTAGGGATGCACCGGTATCGGGCCCGATACTGAGCTCCTGTACTCGTACTCGTACTCGTTAACATGCCCCGATACCAAACGCCGATACCCCACAGCATGTGATAAGCGCCATATTCAAACAAAGAAACACTGACAACAGAATCTCGATTCCATTTCGATTTATCGTGCAGCCCTAGTGACTATGACATTTTAAATTGCAATATAATCTAATTAAAAATTAAAATCAGTCCAAGTGCGCACATCCAGTAGGCAAAAAGCTCAATGTGGGTGCTCCACCACACAAAAATTTGAACCAAAACAATCAAAGTAGGCACACCACAGCTCCAGAGATAGAAAAATATTTATGTTCTCACCACACTCATGTTTTTTTGGTTCAAATAGAATTAATTACAAGTATTTAATTTTGGAGTCCGATTACATGTAATCAGTTACTACCCAGCACTGTGTGTGTGGTCCTGGTAAAGCACGTGTTATGGGGGCAAAATGTCCCCACAAAGATAACAATATCCTTGTCCTTATGGGGACATTTTTTGTTCCCCATGAGGAAACAAGCTTATAAATCATACAGAATTAAGTTTTTTTTTTTTTATCTAAAAATGCACAAAGTTTCGTATAAGGGGTAGGTTTAGGTGTAGAGTTGGTGTAGGGCAATAGAAAATACACATACATACATACATATACACACATGGTAAATAATAAGAAATACACACACAAGCTGAAACTCATCTAAAGCTAATTTAGGTGAGCTGCACTAAGCACTTGCCAAAGCCACGGATTACCAAAAGCAGGTTAAGTGCTCTGTCAAACAGACTCCGACTAACTGGCCCAAAGATGCCTCAAGCGCTGACACACATTGTACATACCGTACTAAAGAACAGGCTCAAATAAGATTAAGCTTTTGCATTAACATTTTTTCCAAGCGTACAAAAAGTCCATGGCTTACAGAGCAGGATAAAATGTTTCACAGTGTTCACACCGTAAGACGCTTATACGACGCCGGTTCAAATGTACTTGTCAAAATTCCATCAGTTAAAAGGTGTTGAGTACTGGCTTATAAGAAAAAAGCAGGTTTCTTGCTTAGTGAGGTGGAACACGTACAAGCTGTGCTAGAATGGCTGGAAATGGATTAACATGGAGGTTTTTCTCGCATACGGAACACAGGAATGTGGGAACTTCACCTTTTTTTGTTTTTTTTAGATATTTACATATTTAGGGGATTTATAGCTTGCAGGTCATGAATCAAGTATTCTTGGCAAGATTTTCGAGGATAATCGGACTTTAATTTCAAAGGATTTAAGCTTGAAGTGGTGGTCTTGAGAAGCAAGGAAACACATAGGTGGGCTGAAGGAGAAGGAGGTTGCTCTCTGTGACAACTCACCAGTGGGTTTCTGAAGAACTCGTACTTGGCGTAGTTCTTCCTGAAGAGAAACTTGCTCTCTGGAGACATGCAGGCCTGCACAGGAACAACCAGTTCATGATCTTCTAGGCACCTCTCTGTATTCAAACACAGATGACATCAAAATGGTGTTAGTTACTGGCAAAGTGGCAGGGCTCGAAATTAACTTTTTTACTTGGTAGCACTGGTGCTCCCAACTTCAAAAAGTTAGGAGCACCAGCAAAAATTTAGGAGCACTCGCCAAAAATGTATGAGCATCACAACTACAAATTATATATTAACAGATTTTATCCTTACATTCTTAACTTTAATGCAGATTTTGTATTGGTTAATATTAGCCGTCAATCTCTCAGTCACTGCTTTCCGCTAACTACCGTGAGAAAAAGAAAGGGCTGAAGAAGAGAGAAAATGAAGAACACTGACAGATTTCTTTTGTAAACAACCTAAAGTTAAGCTCTTCTTTGACGAGGGTTAGGATGGTGTATGCGGTGTTAAATTTTACATTCAGCTCTGCCAGTTGCACCGAACGGCTGGCAGCTAGGGGTGTGCAATATTGACAAAAAATTATATCTCGATATTTTCTGGGATTTTATCGATAACAATAATTTGACTGAGTGTTACTGTGCTGATATCTTAAGGACTACAGTGGACAGCTGACTCCTAAAAATGTTTTATATTCTTCATATTCTGTGTGGTGGTCAGTTCACAGCAGTGACAGAAATGAAT